GGAAGACACTCGATCTCCCCATCTCGCGCGGTCTTCAGTGTGCGACGGGTCTAACACAAGCAAAAAAGTACTGAGCTGAGAAAGAAAGCAAGAATTAATCTTTGCTTGCTGTATAGGTTACGAAGATTGAGGCAAGAACGCATAACCGTGACATAAGCAAGTGCACACAATCAAGCTCATTATGCAGCTACAAGCATGTTTTAGAATTATGAGCTGGAACTAAGCTTAGTTGAGATTGAACTCAGAACCCCCCGCAGTGAGCGTGTGGATGATTCGTTAAACTAAGCCTCCGCGTGTTCACCACTCTCATTTTTCCACTGATCCACTCTTGGAAATCTCCTGGGCCGAATCATGGCCTAAGGCAAAAGGAGATGCAGAGCGCACAAAAAGTTCTTGCAGTCTTTAACCTGTTTCATCCTTCCACTCTGCCGTTTCCTCTGAGATATCGTTGGTTGACTCTTGGCCTGAGAGGGAAAGAATTGATGATCGCAGAAATAGTGTTGGTGGAACCGGGTGGATCGGACGGCGTCATATAACGGACGCAAGGGTAGCCGATGGATCAAACTCTAACTAAGACTGAGAAGACTTAGACTGTTACTGCCTCAATACAATGACAATGAACTTATCGTACGCAAGTACATAGCTACTCGGAAGCGCTCGCCCTTCATTGTCCCATGAGAGCCCTCATCACACCTTCCTACAACATAGCTCTTCCACTTCATTATCACTCTGTTCTCCCCACTCTTCCCATTCCTCTGAGACTAATCGGCCAAGTGAAATGCCTTATGCATAGCGTCTATAACTTTCGCAATGACTCCTCAGAACCGCGCAGGACGTCCAAAGTGCAAGCATTCTAATCTTTTCAAGCGCGGGCCGCTCCTCTCGATGGTAAAGAGGTTGATGTCTTTCTATGCCGAGCGCCGCCTTCTTGTGGCACTTATCATATGACTGACAATCCAACCAGATTCTTTGACCATTTCGAATCTCCTGACGTATTCGCTCGATTGAAGGCGTGGTGTCCACTCCCAATAAGAGGAGGCGATCGTTAGTCAGCCTTCCACTCTTGGCTTGCTCGCAACTACACCAGCGATGGGGGACGAGGATGTTGAGAGGATCGATCTTGATGCTTTGCTCACGCCTTATGATGGTTCGGCCAAGCCTTCTCGAGGCCGTGCGTATCGCTGACCATTTCAAACCTGTACCTGGTACCAGTCTGACCGAGCAAATCTACGAGAGTTTGGTGCGAGTTGCTACTCTCTATGGTTGGCCGCTGGAGAGTCTCGCATCTGATGAAGCCCCTCACTGAGGGGCCCTCAGTGTTTCAACATCTTGAGACCAGGCTATAAAGCTACAGCCAATAAAGTCGATGGTCGCAGTTTTCGACGTATCGTGGATGAGTTGTTCTCAAGCGCGTACGAAGCCACCTCTGACGAGGCTGCCATTGCCGTGGGTGCCACAGGGACTATAGACCTCGAGGATGCGTCACAGATTGAAAATGGTGGCAATGGATGCGTTGGCTTGGCGCTCACAACGAAGGAGGGTCCACATAATCTTATGTTGGCTGTATGCCTACAATATGAAAATCAGAGCCGTCTGCAATTCGTGCATTACAGCGGTCTGTTACTCGAGAAAGCCGAGGTGACGGCCCAGGCGATGATTGACCATCTTGTCGACAGATGCCTCCCAAGTCTCGCGAAACGTATGTCCAATGAAATTGGTTACATGCTAATCGGAGTTGGACTTGTTTCCCATTAGGGTTTGGTTTTTTCCTCCCGCAATCCGATCGTAGATGCTTGTCATCACTTGTGTCTGACTCAGGGAGACTCAGAGTTCAGCGGATCACGGCGGATAGCAGCAAGCTCATTCAAGAATGCTCCAAGACGATAGCCATACGTATAAATGACTCGGACATTGTCAAGCAGTGTGCGGTTATTACGTGCTTTTATCATGTGAATGACCGGATGATCCGACACTAACTGGGGGATGTTGTTGATATCGAATCGATATTATCGATGGTTGGATGCTGACCACAAGGCTTCTTGGTCTATATGATATTGATTTTCGATCGGCGGGTTATTCCGTCGTAACGGGCTGTAGATGGTACGAGCGGGGTCCGTCGCTACGCTCCGGAGTCGCGACGCTCCCAGAAAGCTGAAGTGTTTAGAGTGAACAATTTGCTTTCCGACTGACTCAATTGAGAGTGATGCCCGACTACAAATTTCGACGTAATTATTGCGTAAAAGCAGGAGTTGCACGACATGGAGGGACAGGATAGCGCAAGATGCGAAATCGAAATATAGGAAGAGTGAAAGGACTTGGGAGGGGCTTAGGGCAAGAGGTGATTCGAGCAAATGCACTGCATACGTGGAGGTGATCCTTCTGATGCGGGATCACATTACTGAGAACTGTAAAAGAAATATGAGAGTGTGAGTATTCCACGCGAGATTGTATTGAGCTAAAATAGAAGTATTAATTTTCCGGTATTTTATTGAGACACCCCATGCCTAGTCTGCTCGCCGTTGTTTGATGTATGAGTCCCATGACACAGATTTCGTGGGGATATGTTCTTGTGCTCCAATCTAGTACTCCGTGCATAACCCACCATCGGGTCCCGAGGCTCGGGACCGTCATAGCCTCTGGAGATTCCCACTGACTCGGAATCCTCCCAGAGCTGAGATTACAGGTTACTGTTGTTTGGAGTAGCCTACTCAAAGGGACCTCATAGAACGCCATAGTATGACTCAGCATCTCGACCCAATGTTCTTGGGAATCATGATTATTCATAACCCGTAGATGATTTCCCGGAAATCATTTCCGGCATAGACCGCTCATGGGCTCGCTGTCGGCTAGTAGCCGAGACCTCGATCTACGCTCCGTAGGCAAGGTCTCGGCTGCGTAGGCTACGCAAACCCTCCACTAGAGGACATCCACGGAAAAGCTAGCCAAGAGTATTTCTCTGTACTTCCTGCCATGTTCCAATGAGAGTATCATGACAACGCAACAGATCCTCATTGACCCTTCGAGCATACCGGATAACGATATAAATAATATGGTATGAAAAAAAAGAGCTGCAATAATCATTGGCCTAATCGTCAAGAAAAGTTGCTACAATCATCGATTGAGTTGTCCAGAATAGTTCAACTGCGATACCGATGAGACCAAGACGACCTGTTCATTCAGGCATGCGAAGTTTCACAGAAACACCACCAAGCTCTGTTTCTAGTGATCTGGGATTTTCAGGATGACTTTCAGCAACCTTGAACTTCCCCAAATCTGGAATTGCAGGGGGTCTCGAGCCGAATCGGGGGCAGCGGCTCTTGAAGGAGTTGAGCATATCTTTGTAATCTTTGGTCTTGTCAATGAAGTCTTTCAGGATGAGGTTGTTTGAATCATGGTCCGACTCCAGAGGAAATGTGTGATCATATGGATGGAGATCTGGTCCACACTTGAACAAGATCGCGATGGTCTCTTTCTCGGAGTCCACCGTGACTCTCATGAAGAGCTTCGACGGTTCACCATATCGGGCGAAATACTTACCGTCAAAGGGCTTCTTTGAAAAGTCGATCATACCAGGCTTGTCGTCACCAGAGACAGCAGCAGCGAGGCAGCAAATCAGAGTCGACAGAGGAGTGGTGTGGATCATTAATACGGATCTGAAGTGAACAACGATTCTGATGTCCTTGGTTGTTGAATAATATTGCAGGTTGTGGATGGATCAATTCGAAGTCGTGATCGGGTCGTCGATTGACTATAGGTAGTCGATGCTAGTGACTCTGGTAACACAATCCCAAAGGTGGATACGGGTATAAGATAATACTTAGCTGCGGTCGACAGTACAAGGTTAACAGGGGTGCCAACAGTAATCCTCAAAAGAATCCCTCGAACGACTCTGAATGCAATCGATCGTTCGACGCACGCACACGCTAGCTACCGCTGAGGCTCTCGTGCTCGCCTTATACTGTCTCTGCCGCACAGGCGGACAACAACAAAAAGATAGCCGACGATAGCCGAATAGAGTCGATTTACATATAGCGAGCGATGGTATCGATTGAGTCAATACAATGAAGGTAACAGTCTGGCCAACAAGAGCGGGCAGATCCCCCTACCACAAGGTGTTAACGTTTCGGTGTCTCCTGTGACAGGTGTTTCAGGACACCTTTGACAGGGCTCCTGTCCGACAGGAATCGTCGTTCTCGTGCATCAACATAACCCGACATGTGATGGTCACATGTAGTGTTTGGGTTGCACTGTGAGCCAAGATTAGACTATTCTTTGCTCAAAATTCTAGTCTGATTTGTAATCTTAGATTATGGGCTTGAGCGCCAGTAACGCTCAACACTCGATATTAATAGTACGCAAGCACATGGAATAACTTGTATGCGTGATATGTTATGCCGCGTGTACTGGGCAACACAAGTAGTAGCGGAACCTCCGGGGATAACGTATTATAGACATCATTCGGAGGATTGATATCCATGAGAGAGGCCATAGGATTTCGGAGAAAGTGAGTCATTGTAATGACACGTCAGTGTGAAGGAGCGTCAGTGACGCTCAAGCATTACATGAATCACTACATGACATTACATGACGCTGCGTCACGCTTCCAGCGTACTCG